TGGTTCTGCGTGACTTTTATCTTCTGTATTTTCAATAAAATCACGCGACATTTATATTCTCCGCTTCAAAACACATGCATCTCTCTGTTATATGACATATGCTAATTAGCTCGTGCGACACCAACATGGCGGACGATAACATTTGATAGGTGTATGACGTCACATGAAAACCAAGAATTAGAAGGGATCATAGTAGGATTCAAGGTTTTAAAAGAAAAGAGATGATTTCATAAGGTAAACAAATAACACTTACCTAAATCCTTGACGTAGCATCCTAAAACCATGTATGCATTTTAAAAAGGGAATAGTCGTTGAAGGAGGTTTGAGAAAGGATCACGTCTTGAAGTGGAAAAACAGGAAAAAAATGGAAAATGGGATTTACTTTTTCTTTCAAATGAAGAAACAAATTTTTAGCACTTAAAACAGGAATCTGGCACTGTTGATATTACGATGAAGCACTTTGTATACGGAATTTCTTCAAAAATTGTCACTTCTTGGGCAGAATAAATTTTGTCAACTTCAGCAAAGGAATTAGACTTGCTCCAAGCCGATCCCTCTGATACTCAAACGAACGTCGCAAGGAATGGGAATATATTGGACCATTTTAGACCTGGCTGTCACACACATTAACTAATTACTCAATCACATTTCATGGATGGGTTGCCTCCATATAAAGAGAACAAGGAAATGTTATTTGTCGCACCAGTGAGGGTTTGTATACGCTATTCTCAGTGAACGAATGCTGTGTTAATCTTGGCCAACATGAACAAGGGCAGAAAAGATCCGCGTAGATAGTCTGTGGACTCTCACTGGCTACATGATCTCTTTAATAGGTAAATGAAGAAACTATATTAACATAATTCCAACGCCTAACTTTCTGTGTTTTAAGAACGTCATGAAAAATTCTGGAACAACTTATACGCTTAAAAAAATATTGACTATTATTGAATATTGCAACTACATTTGTATTGCAAAATATCGTTAATCATTCGGAAGCATTTTGCACACTCATTGAAGTTACTAATAAATATAATAATCCAAAATTTTACCATAGTTTTAAAATACCTTAATGAAGTTTTTAGGAGTATTCTTTTAATCTAAACCTATTTTAATTAACAAAATTAAGTCAAGCGTTAAACAGACTGACTGATGTCGTTTTGCATTAAGTTCAAAACACTCATTCGATCTTAATTACAAAAAGAGTTGTATGTTAACTTAAAGCATTATCGTAAAAGTTATAGATAAAGACGAGAAAACGTTTGAGTATTTAGTAATAACGAAAAATATTCATAATAAATGCAATAACGTCAATCAAAAAAGCAGACGTCTTTCAGGATGGTAAGTCACGTCAAGATTTATGAATAATAAAGTTAGGAAAAGTCTACACGCTAATATTTTAAATATTTTGAATATTTTGAAACTATGTTGACATACTTTAGTTAGCAAGAGGTAAAATTAGATTAAATTAATATCGCAAATAAATCCGGATAGAACAATGAGTTTTTAAAATGTTAATTTGAAACTGAATAAAACTCTAGAAAAAAAACTGAGTAAATCTGATCAAATYTACTTAAACTAACAAGCTCTATCGCTACGGCCTTTGTTCTCACGTCATTAATGACGCAAGCAGACCTAACTTCTTATATGAAAAGAAGCGAGAATGGAGGACGTTCGCTGTTAGCTGAAGTTTTTTCAAATTGCCTAAAAAATGTACCCCAACATATTCTTGTTAAAAAAATAATATATTATAAAGGGTCATCAACATTGTTTTAGAGCTATGGAGCTTTTAAGTGATACGTCGTCGTATGGAAAACGACTTTCGGATCTCTAACGAAAAGCAGTTATATAAAGACTTTCCTTACTTGTTGTTTTCGACAGTATTTGTTGTCCAAAGTTCAGTTGCCCGCGCAAACTTCCTCAAAGCTGAAACATCAAGGGGAAACCCGTTGGAGAGACCTGAAGGCTTAAATGCCTATCCCATGTAGAAATGAAGTATTTTTTTCTGGCACAAAGATTAATGCCAAGAGCGATCAAAATAATAAACGGAAATAGCGCGCGCGTAAGTTGATGACACACGGGAGTAGGGTAAGGAAAAATTTAAACTGCATCCGGTTACCAAAAATAGCCCCAACCGGGAATTTACATGACGCGCACGTTATTAAGAAGTCTCCCTCTCTTATTTTTGCTCACTTGGCTAATCCCAATTCCTCTTGTATTTCTTCCGGACACCTATTATGTAAAAAATCTAGTTTGTTTGCGGAGCATCAGATTGATTTGTTGATTCGTTATTTGTAATTCTTCATCTTTTTCTTTGACTTTAGAATCGACAAAGACAACAGTGGAAGCATATCGAACGAAGAACTTCAGCAAGCCCTGACTAACGGTACGTCTATGTCGATAATTACATCCTCTTAACCAGTGCACACTCATATGGCTAAACGAGGAAACATGTTGATCCCGCGGATGTTTCAACGATGTTTCCCAGTTTAGCCTGGCCCAGCCACCAGTAACGGACCACTTTATCAGTCACATCATTTTTCCTACTCGTAAATAGGGAAGAATAGCAGGAGGGAAACAACAGTGTCGTCTTGAAAGCACTGCAAGCACTGAGAACGAATATGGTTCTGTACTTTATGACGTCACTTCTCGGTTGCCCTGTAAGAAAAAAATATAATAGTCATCTTAGATTTATGTTCTTTCTTCTGTGATAAACGGATTTATAAGCTACATAGAATCATTCTGCAATGAAGAAAACTGCTATCAAATATTTTTAGAAGATGGAAGTAGAAGTGAATGACGTTATAACTATTCTGGGTGTTATAACTTCCGGTCAGTGGACAGAAAGTAATGTGTAATTATTGTTAATTAGTTTAATCGCATATTATATTTTTTGGTTTTTCTTCTGATATCAGGTTCTGGTACTACATTCAATGCAGAAACTATCCGGCTTATGATTGGTGAGTCATGCTTGAAATACACGATGTTCAAGTGGTTTCACTCTTTGGCTCTGATTTCTGACTACGCCACTTAACTGTGTCCTTGGGTTACATGCTTTACGCTGCCTTATCCGCCCCACCCAACACTTGCTTTCAGTCTTCATTCAAAACAATAGATCTTTTTACCTTCTCAAGTATGTCAAGGCCTGGTTTTAGCCTGTATTTGGTGTACTGTTTTCCCATTTCAGACGTCGTGTCATTCCCTAGAGTATTATTTCTTTGTTTAATGAATGCACACTGACGAGACGATACAACTCAAACGAACAATTTTATTCTCAAGACAAGGACAGGTGGTCTGATGAGAAAACATTACGCTAAAGCTGAAGAGGTCTATTTACAGGGACGGCGGAACCGGGGGGCTGGGGGGGATCTTTAGCCCCCCCACATTTTGTGAAATTTTAATACATTTTCACTAAACTCAGCCCCCCACGCACACCTTGCCATACAATGTCACTATTAAGCCCCCCCCCCCCCCCCCCCAAAAAACTGCTCCGCCGTCCCTGATTTATTCTCTTTTCAGGTATGTTTGACAAAGACAACTCAGGGGAAATAGAATTCAGCGAGTTTTTGGCGCTCTGGAAGTACATCATGGACTGGGAGAGAACATTCCGCTCTTATGACAAAGACTGCTCCGGGACAATAGATAAAGACGAGCTTCGAGTTGGTAAGAAAAGAAAGCATAACCCATAATAGTTTCAAAATATAAAGCCGACCTCTTATGAGCGGTCCCCAGACAAAGTCCCGAAGCGGTCCGGTTAACACTGGCTCCGCCATACAAGCTCTAAATCTTTTATTAAAATACTGACATTGTATATTTATACCTTAACATTGCAGCCTTTACAAGCTTTGGTAAGTCGAATAACCAACTAATTTCAAATGATTTTACAAGTTGTGATTTCTCTTATGTCACAATAGCAAGAGAAAATGAACTAAGAGAAGGAATCCTCCCTATATAGCCTTGTAACCATCATGTGCACAGTTTGATGCTATTTTTAAACCAATTTCTCAAGCACTATCTTTGTTATAATGATTAAATCATTACAATTATCTTCGAATAAGACTTAACTAAACCCATGGAATATACTTCATGTAAGTGAATTATAGTTCTTATATATTTTTTATAGGACATAACTTCAGCGAAGAGATGTTGGACATGTTCGTCACCAAGTTTGATCGGTCTGGACAAGGCGCCATACGATTCGATGACTTTATTCAGTGTTGTGTAGTGTTACAGGTACGCGCCCCTTGCCTTCTATATCTGGACAAGGCGCCATACGATTCGATGACTTTATTCAGTGTTGTGTAGTATTACAGGTACGCGCACCGCGCCTTCTATATCTTCACAAGGCGCCATACGATTCGATGATTTTATTCAGTGTTGTGTAGTGTTACAGGTACGCGCCCCTTGCCTTCTATGTCTTCACAAGGCACCATACGATTCGATGACTTTATTCAGTGTTGCGTAATATTACAGGTACGCGCACCGCGCCATCCATATCTGGACAAGGCACCATATGATTCGATGACTTTATTCAGTGTTGTGTAGTGTTACAGGTATGCGCCCCTTGCCTTCTATATCTTCACAAGGCACCATACGATTCGATGACTTTATTCAGTGTTGCGTAGTGTTACAGGTACGCGCACCGCGCCGTCCATATTTGGACTTATTCAGCGTTGCGTGGTGTTGTAGGTGCGCGCAACTTGGCTTCCATATCTGGATCAGGTGCCAAACGATTCAAAAACTTCATTATTTTAGTAACCAATGTTTCTCTTGATTGACAGATCTTGACCAACGCATTTAAATACCACGACCAAAGCATGAGAGGTGTCATTACGTTACGATATGAAGAGTTCATAAGAATGATCCTGAACCTTAACCTTGGAAAATGGTGAACATACCTCGATCTTACTGAACATATTCTCGTGAAAACAAGTGAGGGATACATAATCTTGTATTTCATAAATAGATGAGTCGCTCTCAAGTAAGCACCTTGCACATAGATGTTGAAGACCTTTAAGATAGAAAGGAACAGTAGTTCATATTGTGAGTGCTTTTTAAACTGGAAAACTAGGGTTTGTTCAAGTGAGAACAAAACGTGCACGGACTTATCCTATCTAGTTTAGAGGAAACTCAATTCAAGGTCAACCAATCAGAATTGAGGATTGTTCATTGTATTTTGATTAGCAATTTCCCATGATTTTGCCAAGAGAAACCATGAAATAAAAAATTCCTCCTTTTTTGAAATTAGTCGCAAATGCCAGTCAAACTCATGGCGGAATTCGAATTCAATATACAACTCAGTCTCTGTTCGGAAAATGCTAACCAAAAATAGTTGACCCATAACTTCTTTCGGGGAACGCGGTCAACTCGGCTGGACAGTATAGTGTTAATATTTGAATGGATGGATGGATGGATGGATGGATGGATGGATGGATGGATGGATGGATGGATGNTTTTTTTTTTTTTGCATATTCAACTTACTTTAATGGTCCAGAGTGTAAAACAGACTATCATGGTGAACATGCAACAGGCAACATACTGAAAAATGAAGAAAACTTTACGTCAAGAGTGTCATTTTAAAACTTGTGTCTAAAGCAACTTTCAAATGCTCATTTACACATGAAAAATACATCTCTCCTTTGTCAAATATTTTGTTTAGAGTGATAGGCTTTAACCTGGATTCCAGAGACAATTTATTTAAGAGAAAGAGGGTAATCAGAGGGTTGGCAGCACAGCAAAAAAATCCCTCTGGCACCCACGGCATTTTAGCTTAGGAAGAGTTTAGGATCAAAAGCCATTTGAAAGTCGCTACAAATACAACACACAGAAGAACAATGTTACAAAACCACTACTTACTTTTCTTAAATATGCTCTTCTACTGAGGGCTGCAATACCAAGCACAACTAATATACAACTACCAACACTTGATAAATACAGCACACGTTCTGCTATGACAAAACCAACTCTGAAGAAGATATTTGATGCAGGTAGGAATGGTACAATGAGAAAAGCCAGACCCATTGTGCATATTCTGCAGAACAATACAAAGATAGAAAACTTAAGGTTAAAAAACTTAGAAAAAATAAATGTTGCAGTGCTATATAGATGACTTTGATTTTCATGAGGAAGAAGAGATGGATTCTTGAAGTAAATATGCTACGGGCAATCCTGGATGGTGTAGCAGTAGTACGCTCGCCTTTCACCTCTGATGTCTCAGGTTTGATTCCCAGACTGAGTGTCTGGGAACCTGTGAGTAGATTTTGTTGGTTCTCTCTCTTTATTCGAGGGTTTACTCTCCATTTCTCCTCCCTCTTCAAAAGCTAACATGCTGAATTCCAATTCAATCTGTGAGTTAGCCATGCCCTGACATGATCGTCAGTCCAGAGGTTGTTTTAGGCTATTAACAAAATTTGAATTTTGTTTTTTTCACTTATAGAACATACCTTTTGTAATGTGATGGTTGACCTAATATGCAGTATCCAAAAAGAGTGAAAAGCACAGCCCACATCAGTAGCACTGCAGCTACACGAGGGTCTGTTGGTTCCTTGATTAGCGGTATACAACCCATCGACCAATCAAAACACAGCCACCAAGGGTTAATTAACAGCCACAGGTTGATCGTGTAGATGTAATTATAATTAATGAACTGGTGAAATCAAAAAAAGGTTTAAATAATAACTTTAGTAAATTAAATTTAGTAGTGTAAAAGGATGTCTCCCCTTTAACTTTTTCATGAGAAAAAATCTTATTTTGTCTTAGTTTGAGTTCCACATGACCAAAAAAAAGATTTAAGTCCCCCAGCTTTAAAATGTGCTCCACTGTCCATGTATAAACATGCAGGTCTTTGATCTTTCCAGACCCTTCTAAGATATTCATTAAGTTTACTCTATTAACCATGGATCAATATCAGTGACAACTTAGCAAATACTAGTCTTTCAAAAGTCTACCTAATTAATAACACAAATGTCACTTACTCTAGATACAAAAGACTTTTCAAATGAAGGTGGATTATCTGACACTTGAAAATGTGGTGGAGTAGAGCCCATGACTTTCCATCTTCCCAACAGAAGAATGATTCCAACAAGGACTAGGATGGATTGCCGAAAGATTAATCCTCTGAACAGAAAAACGCCATTATCCTGTGAAAATGAGAAAAATTAATCATTAGTGGGTACTCTATTTTATGTATTACTGGCTATTATTTTAGACCTGGGTTGTGTAGGAAACATTAGGGTCTGGAAGTCTTATTAACTACAATAAACAACCAAACTCTCTACATGCCAAACTAAACAGATACTGTAGTCGTTACATGTATTAATTAGTGTAAATGCTATTTCATGGTACCTCAGTAGTTGAAGCTGGTTTCTTTGGCTTGAACAGCTTCTTGATCAGTTGAATAAAGTCTATCTTACAGAACATGACGATGTCATAAGCACAACACAGTCCCTAGGACACAATAGGTAGATAATCAACACTATTGAGAATATCTCCTATGATCAAATTAATTTGGAAAAATAGTACTTTCCTTAATTTTTTAGTAGCCCCTTTTAAAATTATATTTTGAATGCAAGGCTAACATTGAGAAAAAGTCTGATTTTTTTTTCATTTTCATGTTAACCTCGCACTCAATAATTTTGAGAAGGATCCCACCCTCTCTGTGAAGGTTTTGATATTTAATTGATGCATATATGAAGATGTATTGCAAAATGCCTGGTTTGCTACTCACAAGTACAGTGATACCCTGCTCTTTGAAGAGCATAGCAAGGCTACACAGAGTAACACTTGTTAACAGATACCCAAGAGCTGCCTGGGAATTAGTACCTGTGGAAGAGAAATAAATAAAAAGGGATAGATGAATGTGAAGTAAATGAAACAAATAAATGTCTGCATCAGTAATAAAATGAATAAATAAACAAACAAATAAATAAATAAATGAATAAATAAATAATATTAAATAATAATGAATGAATGAATGAAAGGGTGGATGGATGGGTGGGTGCATGGTTGGATGGATGGATGGATGGTTGGATGGATGGTTGGATGCATGGTTGGATGCATTGAATAAAAAACAAGTGTTAGTAATGAAACAAATAAATAAATAAAATCAAAGCATTAGTCCGTGAATAGATAATATACCTAATGCAGTATATATTTTAGATACTGAGGTTACGTGAAAACAATAGGTTATATAAACAGATATAAAGATTAATAATCTTTTTGAATGGCCTTTGTTCCTTCTCATGGCTATCTTCCAGTCTTCTAAATAATTCAAATCTAATCTAATACATTTACCACTCCTGGGTGGACGGTGCAACCCAATTGATAAGACAGGCGAAAGCTAGATCGAATTTGAAATTAGAAGTTTTTTTTCATGGGGAGAAAAAAAACCGAAAAACTCGGAAAACCCGGAGGAAAGACCCTTGAAGCACAGGAGAGAACCAAAAAAAATTCTACTCACGACACCGAGCCCGGCGAGACTCGAACCCGGGTCGCATTAATTGGCACACGCCACCTGTGCTTCTCACAAACACTCGTTAACGGGTGTACGCTTAATGATTATAAAGCTGGACAAACTGCAAACGTTGCTTGACAAATCGCCTTATATGTCTCATCTAGAAAAGCTGTATGATCAGCTGAACTTGCTTGCGCATGCGCAAAACAAACCTTTCAATTCAGGAATACAACACAATGCTTTGCAGCCCAAATAAAACAAAGACTGGGATTCAGAAAGTAACAAAATATGTTTCTAGCCATTTTCAAGTTAAACCTCTTTTGATGGAAACAGTTTTGTCTCGGTATTGTGTGTCTTAGACATTTTTCTTCATTCTTTTCAACTTGCGCGCGCAAGGCTACGAATCGGATTCCAAAAAAAACTTTCGAAAAAAATACATTTTCATGCTAAAATATCCGGTATCAAGCAAACGTGGTGTTGCGGAGCCAATGACAGTGATGAATAGCCATTACGTTAATTGAAATCACATTAGTGATTGAGCTAACCGATTCAGGGTGTCTCTTATCTCAAATACTGAGCCAGTGTCACCAGAAACGATAACAATTAACACATCGTTTTAAAATTAAAACCACAGTTAAGACTGAGTACTGTGATCTTCTTTATCCATCGGTACAAGACTCGCGAATCACTCAAAAATGGCTAAACAAGGGTTAAGCGGCTTATAAAGACTTTTCAACGTGATTCGAAAATCGATCACGTCAACATTCTTCCGTGGGCAGGTCACGTGTTTTGATAACATTTTCTTTTTTAAAATCGAACCGCAAAAATCCGTAAACCCGCCAAGAAATATTGCAATCAAAAGTGTTTTACGCCCTGTTTTTGAAAGGTAGTTTCGTTTTTCACTATGCATACTTTTAATAAACATATTTGCACTTTTGAAAGTTATCTTCATAAAATCGCTTATCAATTACCAACGACCATGACTGAGTCTAGAACGAGATGGTCCAACAGTTCCTAACAGGCCATAACTTGTACTTTCAAGACAGTTTATTTCTCTTGCATCGGGGAAATAAGTTTATGATACAAAAGTTAAATAGTTCCTTGCTAGGAATTGAGAACAAATTGCTCTAAAATGCTTCTGGCACGTGACGTTGAGGTCGAGAGATGGTTCGTGTCTTTCAGCGTACAAATCCGACAAAATTCTCACCATGTTTTAATTACCTTGAGAGGATTTCGTAAATAACCTAAACATCGTGTTAGAAAAAAACCTTTCTTAAAAAATGGCTCGATCGGGAAAAAAAGGTCAAAATCTTGTGAAACAAATGAAACGGTTACTTGCCAATACCCAGGCACAAATTGCTAAATTATTCTCGGCTTTTACCGTTGCAAATTCAAATTATTCCAAGAATTAAATGAAAAGTTTTCGTTTCCAAGCTTGAGGACTATTCTTTTTAGACTGTGAGCCAAAAAGGCGTTCACAATTCCAAAAAATGCCAATAGGTTAAATATCGAAAATTCTGCTCCTCTTGAAGGGCTGTTGTAACCATTAATCTCTTTAAAACAAACATTTCTCTCCTTGTAATGTCAGTAGCATTCATGACCTTCTAAATATGATCGCTCAGACACACAAGGAAACGCTTTATTTTGCCACATTTGATTATTTTAAATCTTCTGGTACACGATAAGGAAGAAGCATTCAAGTCAATGGTTTGTTTATATGAGGAATGAGCACTACTTGACAGATAGCTATATGTATTTTTCATATGGATGTTTGTTTTTCCCAAAAATTAAAATTCTTTTCAAAAACGACCTTGTCTTAGACCAGTAGTAACCTTGGTTAAAACGTTTGGAAATCACATTTTCATTTCTTTTAGTTTTAAAATAATATAATTTATTTCAGGATTCATAATAATAATGTTAAATGTTTGTCTCTGACTTAAAATTTTTGAAACGTCTGTAAAAATGTTTCAAAAAATTTAAGTCAGTATTGTTCTTTTAGTTTGTTCTGATTTGTATGCGAACAAGTGGCAAGCAACACCCGTCATATTCTATAGCTACAATTTTAAAATTAAACGTTTAAAACAGTTTAGCTGGAGCTCTGAAGAGAGGAAAGATATGTAGTAGATTTATCTCACGAAAGCCAGGCAGGCATGTAACAGAGCCGAGCGACCCGGACCAAGCTCTCTCCAAGACGCCAACGAGACTAATTTGCTGACGTTAATGAAGATGAATTTGAAAGGGAATCTGTTTAACGCAAAAGACAAAAGCAATGACCGCTTAAGATGCCGCTTAATTAATTTCCCTATCAAAATGATCTTCACTCGATGCAGGACTGATAAACTCGCTAACGCGGCTCAAATTCTGCGTAGATTCATCGTGATAGATATATCATGCTGCGAAGAGCGCGCACGCGGGACAACCACTCCATTCCGTAACCTTGTGTTCCTAAAACCCTTTGAAAGTGTTCGAAACTTTAAAGAGTGGGGATAAAAAGGAGTGCCCTTCAGTTTAAGAACTCGTTCAATGCTTGACGCCGCGGCAAATGTTTTCTTTAGACATTGTTATACTTATCTTGTAGTTTGTCTAATTGCTTTTATTTGGCTTTGTAAACAATAATCGAGACGATGTGGGTGGTGCCCCGATTGTCAAGACCCGATTTGTAAAAGTGAGATTAGGAGGAACCCTTTTATTTATAGATGAGTGTCTTAAAGACAACAGCCAATGTCCATGTTGAGGTACCAGCCAAAGAGATAAAGAAAATAGGACATTACCATGAAGATATCCATCCAGCTCTGCTAGAACACTCAAGACACTTCGACCTAGAGGTGCCAATATCATACAATCCCATACTTGAGAGAGTAATGTCTTTGAAACAGAAACCGCAGAGGATGGAAAAGGGAGAACGCATGAAGCCCCCTCATTCTTACATCGCGCTTATTGCTACAGCCATTTTGAATTCACCAGAGAAGAGGCTCACTTTGACCGAGATCAATGATTACTTAGTAAAGCACTATGTATTCTTTAGAGGGTCGTACCAAGGATGGAAGAACTCTGTACGACATAATTTATCCTTTAATAAGTGTTTTGTCAAAATCTTGCGCGACCCTGCAAGACCTTGGGGGAAGGACAACTACTGGACGGTGAGCTCGCTCAACGATTATCTGCTATCTGACGGCAGTTTCAGGAGAAGAAGACGACGAAAACCTAAGAAGAGAGACAGTGAAAGCACTGCAAGAAGAGAAAGGCTACTGCAAGCGGACTTTCAGGAAGAATTTAGGCACGATTCACAACATCACCGGAGCTCTGCACTGCTTCTACCACAACTTCCACTACACAGGGTCGAATCTATCTCAACGCAGCAAAACAAGACCACGAAATTCCATGGTTCATTTTCCATCGAGAACATCCTTGCAGATGACAAAGATGTTGAGAGGAGAACGTCTCCACAAGATTCAGATCGTCTTCCCGTACCAACCCAAGCTAATGCAACTTCCAGATCTTCGATTCCTTTCATAAACTTAGGTAGGTATACAAGTTTATGATAAGCGGGAGCGAGAGATTCCTCGATGTCTAGGGCGTATTTGCGTGTCCTGGTGCTATTGTTAAATTGAAGTTAATGGCAAACAAAAAGAAAATAATCCATAGCCTTAACAGTTTGTTGTTTTTTAAAGTTTGGTTTTGGCTGAGGTTAAAACAATTTACAACAAACAAATGCCATCCCAGAGGCACGTATTATAAACAGCCTACAATCACTAAGTAGCTAGTAAGTTAACGACCTTGAAGCTAATTATACATTAAATAACCTAAATTACAGCTAAATTGTGTAAAGTTTGCCCAGCCATTAAACCACATAAGCTTTTCCTGTGTACATTATGCAGTGGGCAGCTCCTTCTCATCAAATGCAAGAGATTAGCTCGCCAGTTCATCTGTAATATTTGGCGACTTTGCGGGAGAAGATTTACGCTACTTGACCCTGGAGAATTTTTTCAACGGTTTTGCAAAGAGGGTGCGGAAAAACCCGACAAGCTTCATGTAAACTGTTGAAGCTGCATTTCAGCGAGGATTTGCTCTCGTTTGTAACTGTCGGAGATTTTTGTTCCAAATACAAAGCTAGCGTCAAGTCTTGCTAAATAACAGCTTAAGAAACAGAAGGAGAACAATCTGCTTCGCTTGTATGGAAATCGCGGATTTCCGTAGTAGCATAAAGTTGGACCCTCAGAAAACAACCTCACGGAATTGCTTTCTAGGAAATTAGTATTTAGTATTTACTGCTGAAGCAAGTTTCTGTAGTATTGAATGCTTTTCCACAATAATGCGAGAATATTGACGAAYTGAAGTGAACTCTCTGAGGTGATCGATCGGGCGATGTTTGTCATCCATCAAATATTCACTTCACAAATACCAATGCTGAAAGGTTCTTCAAATTATTCTTCAAATTACACAAGAATCTTCATTACCGACAATTAGTTTATTTTATAGACATCGGGAACAAGAATGTACAACTAGTTGATGACACTCGATCCAGTATTACTCTCTCTTTCTCTCTTCCTGCCCGACTTCATTTGTTGTGATCGCTCTCATGCTGGGTGGGTCATTGATGCGCTTTACATAGCGCTGCGGCCAAAACCGTAAACATCATTCATCGGTGAATCCACAAAGAAAAAATCCTATCGCAAACGAGTGAGTGCTCATGAACGTATGAATTTGCCATGTAAAGTCTTAAAGGCTGAGACGTTGGTCAGAATTAGAATGTCTCGTCGAAATACCGAGGTAAGCATTTGCAAAGAGTTTCCTAAACAAACTTTCCTTTAGCAAAGTTTTACTTCGACAACTAACGATTACTATGGTTATTCATGAAATTAGGTTYGCTAGGGCTTGACAAATTCATTCTAGAAACTGAAAATAGTTCCTATAAACATTGGAGAAATTCAAAATGAGCAAAGTTACTTATGTTGATGGGATTTTTTTCTGTGTGAGTGTGTTATCGTCGTGAATTCACGGCCAATCTTTTGCCTACTGTGTCTCATATGCCCGTGATTTGAGTCGCGTACCACGAACAGTTAGAAAAGTGTTCATTAAGTAAACAACTATACATGATGTTCATAGTTAAACACAGACGCTTAACAGCTTTGCATTCTTTATATTCACCCCCGAACAGGAGAAGGAACCCTAAAGGCGCCGACCACCAACTGCCATCACTCTCCAGCTCGCCCTATTCATCCATCGCACGAACACATCATGTTTCGGCCTCCACATCACCAAGGGGTCTTACCACACAGCTGTGAACTATGGAACGCCTATCCACATTGTATTCCACATTGTTATTGTCGATGCTATTAGAATTGATTGAACTACACTAAGTGTATGGTTATGGGATGTCAGGAACTAGGGTAAACTCGTCGTGATGTGTGCTGCGTTTTGGGTCACACGTCCCACAGAATTATTCCCGAACAAAACTTTTATATGAATTTTCAACAATGGAAAAGTTTTATCGAGCCACTGCCCGCTTGAAACTACTTGGGAAGATCTACTGGTGAGCTTAAAGTAAAAGAAATAGATCAAAAACAATGAAGTAGTGAGTCTGAAGGCTTTTTGGAAGGGTCTCCTTTTCGAGCAACGAACAATCACGCGTTGAGAACAATGGCCTCTCTAGTTGCCTTCTTGAAATTAAGAGACCATTTTTGTAAAGCTTTCTGGCTAGTTTTATCGATTATTTGGACATAAAGAACTTTATTTTCTTAACAAAATTCGAACAAAACTCACTGCAAAGATATTCTTGCAGTTGTTGGAGAAAAGTCAACATATGGTTCTGGAAAACTCCATGTTATCAAAATCCTTCTTGGACATTCAACTTATGTTGTCTTTACCTACATTTTTTTTAAATATTTTCTTCTTGTTTTAACAAACAACATATAATTGTAAATAAAATATATTTTCAGTAGAATTTGTCCCAATTTCATAGCCAATTTTGAGGATTTTGAGCTCATACTTTGGTTCTTAGGCGTCTCGAAGAGCTTGAAATTCAAGAAGTTATTTCAGGAATGGTTTCTGTGATGTTTTACAAACTGTCCTTGATTAATTAGTTTTCTTCAAACTTCGGCAGGTACAGGAAGTGTTTAAAGTCTAGGTCTAGAGAGCTGCATAACTTAGGAGACATTGATAAAAGATTTATAAAAGAAACCCTTCAAAACACTAAAAAACAAGACCAACATTTGTACGAGAAAACTCACTTGATAAGACTTTATGCAAGGGCCCTGCTACAACAACAGTCTTAGCTTGTTTTCACGTAATTTAAAGTAGTTTGGTGTGAAAATAGTTATCTGTTGTTTGTAAGAATTAATGCTGTGGATTTGAAGTTTATTAATTTTGTCGTATGAAGGACTGAACAGTGATGGATGAGGTGAGAAGGTTCGGTAGGTTCTGACAATGTCCATTGACACAAACATAAAAAATACGTCGAATCGCTCCAAGAATTGGTAAACTGAAAACACTCTTTATCCTCTTAAGTACTGTTTCTTTGTTCTTTCTTGGAATGCTATAGTGTCTATCTCTACAGTGCCTGAAGCCTAACTAACGTCAGGCCCGCGAATATTGTGAGACTTTCGTTTGATTTTTTCTCAATTATTCTTCGGCTACATGGCCGGGAAGAAGATGATGAACTTGACAACCAGGCAGTCAAATCGTTCCTTACTTCCTAACTCCTTGAGCCGAATCACTCAGATATATTCCACAAACTCTGCTCAACAATAAATAAATATTATATAATATTTGCTTTAAATCTGGCAAAGTAATTGGTAATGAATGAGTATGGTTGAAAATTTAGAACAAATATAATGGCTTTAGCTTCACTTACGCCTGAAAAATGGCTGCCAAGGATTCTGACAAAGAATAAAGAGAATGATTTACGATTTCCTTTTCCTTATTTAGAATGTAGAACGAAGTCTTAAACTATCACCAACAAGGAATAGGGTCGTTTTTCCTTAATAATATTAAATATGAAAACTGTGTTTCACGTTTCGTTTGCGGAGAAAATGAACAGTTTGCTCGCTGCTCTTTTATTGTTGCTTGAAAGTTTACAACATGAAAGTTTACAACATGAGTTAAAGTGAAGTGAGTAAAAACAATAACATAAACCAACAAACAACAAAAAAACGATTAGTAATGAATTTTTTAAAGTTTATTAACTAACTTAGTTTGAATACGACTTCTTTTTTTGCCTATGAAATACAATAAAGCGACAGCATACAAAAAAGTGAAAGACAACAAATATCCTGCAACGCCATTTTGGGTGAAATCCTACGTACGTACAAAGTACTTTATGACCAATACTTTAACTTGATTAGTTTCTAACGAAAGCAAAGAATAATCTACAAAATAAGTTAGTCTTTTTAACATTTAAAAGAATTTGCTCTACTACGAAACTTAGGGATGTACTGAGTCGACTAAGTTAAAAAGAATTCAAAATGAACCTTTCTTCCTCGAAAGCGCATCTTTCGTCCTTCATTCGGAAAACCTTTTTAGTTGCCATACAACTCGCGTACCTTTTCTCCAGCTCAAAATTCAACTGACCAGCTTTGAGAATAGCACTTTCGTCCAGTATCAGGGGAGAAGCTTATTGTATGTCAGTAAAAACAATCACGTCTAAAATATCTGGATTAAATTCTTGGCTTGACAAGTCGGTCAGATTTGATAAATGAGGTTTCAAAAAGGGTAATGCAACGTAGGGAGAGTGCTAAGTGATGTATGTGTGAGCAAAAAATATAAGGAGTATATCTAAAAATACTAAAGTGTTCTACTTTGTTTTTTATTTGCTTTTGATGTTAGTAAAGGAAAAAGGTTTCTTTATAATATAATGGGAAATTCAGCGAAGAAAGTTCAATACGTTTCGAGCAAACATCCAGACCAAGATTAGAAGCGAATTGCCCATGAAAACACTTTAAAACAGATTTCATTTCCCCCCAGTAAATTTAAATGTTTTTTGTTCTAATGAAATTTTTAATCAATGATGTTTGAAGAGTTTAGAAACGAAATCAGTGATTCTTAGAAGCAAAAGAAGAAAGAATGAATTACAACTGAATTACAGATGAAAAGATGAAGAAAAAAATTGTTTTTCTTGCTTTGTTCAAGTGAACTGTCATTGTTGTATTAAGGGTTTAGCAAAAAAGTGTGGGTTTAAAAAAGATCTTAAAATGTGTCTAAAAGAAGACTTTATTTACGTTACTTTAATCAATAGTTGACCCTTTTATCCAGCGTCATTTAAAAAATACCTAAACAGAGAAACGTTATATAATTCAAAGTAACTGTGAAATTGGGTTGCCATTCGTGATGTTGGCTAACTCGTGTAAGTGATTGCTTGTAAAGGAATGTGTATGTGTGATAGAGTAAAGAACTTGCTCTATCTAACGAGATAACAGCCCCCATCGAGTAGCACAACCATCAACAAAGATTAACACATTTAAGCCTTTGTGTTCAAATCGCTTCAAAGGTGTTTGGTCAAGAGCTTGCATCAAGCAAAAATAAACTTAAATTCTGGGGCTGAGATTAGGAGGCAATCCTCGCCACACGAACAAACAAAGTATCTCTTCGTGGTAGCGTCTCTAAGAGAATCTTCCAACATATGGCTGACACGGCCAACAGCTTTGAGTTGCTATCAGATGGCACGTTCGTGGGTTGTTTAGAACAGGCTCCATGCAGTCTAGAAGAGGCACTTGGCAGGCAAATATGGTGAAATATTCAATGAAATATCACAGAAACACAGGTTTGTGCAATTGTAGAGGTCAACTGAAGAGTAATCTGCCAGAGGGCAATGTGTTTGGGATGTGGCAGGCGATAACAGTATACGATGGAAGATGTGTTAATTACATTAGCTTAGTGTAGAAGCTGACACTTGTAAGGGAAATGTTACTTGGGCTTCCTGTTGTTATTTCGCACAGGTAATCCATATCAAAAACAACACGGTGAGAAAAAGCAAGAGTTCATAGGAAATGATTAATATTACTGAATAGAGAACTTTAAAAAATCAGCAAAAATGATGAAGAAGAGAAGAGAAGAGAAGAGAA